ATAGAGTACCCCTCCAAAGCGAATGTTATTTTGAACATTCGTGCCAACTGTGCAGTAGGGGCTCGCCCGCAAGAAACCTCCAACGAGAAACCCAACCTTGAGACTCCAGGACGTCTATTGGCGCGGGAGCGTCACGCTTTCCATAGCAAATCCAGCGAAACCCAAGAAACCCAGGGCACCTTGGAAGCAAGCAGGGTATTTCTTGGCATGGGTCTCCACTGTAGTGGAGCCGTCGGATCTGGGCTGCGGATCTGGGCTGTCAGATCTGGGGGTATCTTCCCGACCTTCCGTTGCGACCCATCCCATCCTCGTCATCTTACGGCTTGTCACCTTCGGCCATGACATCATTGATCTTCACCGCCTTCATCATCAATCGCATCATCCTCCTCCTCCTCCTGTTCCTCCTTCATCTCCCCTTCCCTTTCCCCCTTTCACGATCCATGGAACCACGCGACGGATGGGCGAGGATCCTCCCCCGATTGTGGTGTGGGGTCGGTTTCGGCGTTGACGCTACCCTCATCTCGTGCTAACTCTCTCTTTCTCTCTCGCTCACGTGTGTAAATATCTTTCCCTCCTCCTGTCTTCTCTCTTGTTCCTCCTCCCATCTTTCCACCCCTACCCCTTGTCAGCCCCTCCCCATCCCTGCTCGCTCTGATTCCCATATCCTGATTCGGGTGCATGACGAAGCGGGACAGCACAGAAGTGTCGAGGATGCAGTGAATCCCCCAATCGTTGCACGTCACGCTCAGAGCCTCCACCAGCTCTACCACGTAGTTGCCATCGACCACGTCCTGCTTCGTCAAGTCACCCAATATGTCCTTCGAGCGAGTGGTGTCACCTTCGGCGACGGGGTCACTGTCTCCGTCCTCGCCTCATCTTCACCTCATCCCTCTCGGCCCTCTCGTTCTCTAGTGACGAACGAACAACGCACACACACACACACCCACACACACACACGCACACACACACAAACACACACACACACACACACGCACACACACACACGTGCCCTTTGGTGGGACGGGGGGGAGGGGTGCGTGTTGTCGGCCGAATGCAGGCCCACGCTCGAACGGGAGTTTCCCCCGCGGTCCGACAACCCCCTCGTCATCCACATCCTCCTGGGGGAGTGGTAGCTCTCGCTGCGCCCCTGCAAATGTAGGTCGGCGTAGCGCGCGAGGGGGAATAGAGAGCGAGAGGCGATAAAGAGAATGCGAGATGCAAGGAAAGAGAAAGAGAGAGAGAGAGAGAGAGAGAGAGAGAGAGAGAGAGAGAGAGAGAGAGAGATCAGGGAGAGGGAACGGGAGAGGGAACGGGAGAGAGTAAGGGATAACAAGTTGACGATTCCATTCCATGTCACCTCCCATCATCCACGAGTCATGAGGCGGGTTGATCCACAGCACACCTCCTGTCTTGACGCGGCACACCATCAACCCTGGAAGCATCATTGCTCAGCGAACTCTATATGCGGGAAAGTTGCTGAAGTAAGGAACGCTAGCTAAGGAACGAAGCACTTCTGTTTGGCACCAGCAGCGCCACGGTGCACGAGGATGGCTGGAGGACAACCATTGGAACAGCGAGCCTCTTCCGAACCCAAAGCGGTCCTTAGTTCAGCGCCTCGATTGCACGGGCATGGGATGGCGGGAAGGGCTGAGCTCCAGAGGAAGGGTTGCGAGGTTAGCTCGTACATTCCAGGGACGGGGATGGAGGACGAGGTTTCAGAACGGTCAGGCTCGATCGACGTGGATGGAGGACGAGGTTTCAGAACGGCCAGGCTCGATCGAGATTGAGGCATCCCACCCATCCACTCAAAAAAAAAAAAAACAGTGGGATCCTAGGCTCCACAGGCCTAGTGGGGTGCACACGTCCTCGTCGGGGTGACGGAGCACGTCGATCTCCTGCGCCTTGAAGCCCGCCTCCGCGGGGCTGGGTCGCGAGCTCTCCTCATCTCACTCCCACTTTCCAGTGCGCATCGTCATCCTCCGACTAATCCCGCGCAGATGGCAAGACTATCCTCCCACTCGCCCTCCCTTCTCCTCCTCCTCCTCCTCCTCCTCCTCCTCCTCCTAGTCCTCCTTCTCCTCCTCCCCCTCCTCCTCCTGCTCCTCCTCATCCTCCTCCTCCTCCTCCCCTAGTCCTCCTATCATCCACGGCGTCCTCCATTCACTCCATCCTTCTCTTTTCGATCGTCATCGTCGTCGTCACCGTCGTCGTCGTCATCACCACCATCATTATCCTTCCCCCCTCTCCTGCTCCGTCCATCGGCACAGTCATCGTTTGCTCCACCATCGTCATCGTCATCGTCACCGACCCCTGGCCTTCCGCACCGCTGCGCTCGCGCCGCCGTGGCCGCTGAAGACCTCAAGGAAGTCCAAATCCTCAACGATGGTGTGCTTGAACTGGCCAACCCCTTTCATCACGCGGTTCATCCACTCCTGCGGCACCGACGGTGAGGAAGAGGAGGGTCGGCGAGCGAGGGGGGGGAAGCGAGAAGGAACAAGCCTTCTCAGATGAAGGCGGTGGGGCGTCTCAGAAGCCCTCGGAAGTTTTTTGCGTCTTGGGGAAGGCTTGGAACATTTCTCAGAAGGCCTGTGGACTCCGAGAAGGCCCGCACCTTTTCATTTCCCCCCATCGCTCGCCGCCTAGATGTGGAGGGCTGAGGCGCAGCACGCGAATGAAATGACGGTCGGGCAACGCGGCTTATGACTATATATATATATGTATGTATATATATATATATGTATACATTCAACATTTCTAGTTGCTGGTATATTTGCTGCAGGTCGGGGATGTGGCCTGGGTCCAGGATAGCAGCAGCGTCTGTGTGCCTATCATGCCCTTCCCTCGCGTCCTGCGGTGTACGTCGGTCGAACGTCTGGTTCGGGAACATCTTCTTGAACTCGCTGCGTAGAAACTTGCACACACCCTCTGGGCCAGCCTCGTCGGGCGCGCGGGGCGCGAACAGGGCTATTGACTCCAATCGAGAATCTCTGAGATCCGACGGTTCTGGAGGATGTCTCGGGCGCCGCGGCCTTCTCAGAGCGTTCCAGAGCGCTCTGAAACTGGAGCGCTCTCGAACTGATATTATCGGTCTAGCCCCGTCTGGTGTACGTTATGGCCCCCGCCTGTCTCTTGAGGTCAGCTGGGATCGGCGTGGGGTCACGCCTGCGCTTCCCCGTCATCGCGCGCAGACACTTTCCCCCAAAAAGCTGGCTCGGGCCCAGCTGATGAGCACAAAAGGGCGGGGCGGCATGTAGCGGGGTGCGAACGGCGCTGCTGTCCTCTCAAGGATCCCGAGATCATGGAGACCAGCGGGGACGCATGTTCCGCTGATGTTCTTTATCTTTTACAAGACGCATACGTGGCGCGGTGTGCACGCCACGGGCTAGAACATTATCGGTCTCAGGGCTCTGCATTTTTGGCTCGGTACTACGGGTTCT